AGCAGGGCCTTCTCACTGGCATCTTCTTGCTCCTTCCCCATATGTCGGACTCATTTACATAAACAAAAGCATCCACCACCGTTCATGTCAAAGCTGGGCTCACTGACCAGCTGCAGCCCGGGGCCTGGACCCGAGACCAGGGATCAGCAAAAATCAGTGTTGCCCTTCTGAGACAGCCAACGGGCTCTGTGGAACTGGAAAAGGAGCAGGGGGTGTTCACCATACTGTGTGTGGTTATACCTATCTGTATACCTAGCAGTATACTCTATAATGAACTCACTTCCAGCTATGCATCTCTATGGGTAAAGAAACCGACATGACATATCTTCCACCATGCCCCTGGCAGCTGTGCTTCCTGCCCTCGAAATGCCTGAGAAAAAAAGAGGGTGTCCACATTTGGAAGATGGAGATAAACATTAACTGTGAATCAGCAGGAGTGGAGTTTAGGGTGAGAACACTAAAGCTTCAGCAGCAGCAACCAGAGGGGTGTGTGCAGACCATAAGCAGAGCACTGAAAGAAAGATCCGGGCACTCCAGCACACAGTCAGAAGGAGGGGAAAGAAGTCAAGATAAGGGCTGCAGAGGTGCCTCAGCCATTGAGACCACTGTCTGCTCTTCTAGAGGTCCTGAGTTAGATTCCCAGCAACCACACGGTGGCTCCCAAGCCAGTAACAAAGGGAAAAATACTTAAAAAAAAAAATACTGGGCTGGATCGATGGCTCAGAGGTTAAGAGCACTGTCTGCTCCCCCAGAGGTCCCGAGTTCAACTCCCAGCAACCACATGGGGGCTCACTACCATCTATAATGAGATCTGTGCCCTCTTCTGGTGTGAAGTTGTATGTGTAGACAGAATATTGTATACATAATAAATAAATCTTTAAAAAATACTTACAATTCAGAATAGACAAGTTATCTAAATTTAATTTCTTAAAAAGAAAAAGAAAAAAGAAAGAAAAGAAAGAAGGGAGAGGAGAGGGGAGCGGGAGCAGAGAGGAGAAGGGAGGGGGGAGGGTGGGAAGGGAAAAGGAGGGGAAAAGAGGGAAGGTAAGGAAGGGGAGGGAAGGAGAGAGGAAGGGAGGGGGGAAGGAGGGAGGAAGGGAGGGGAGGGAACAGGAGGGGAAGACAGGCAGCAGTTACCAACATGAACAAGTGTGGGGCATCCCTGAGCAGTCAAGGAGGAAAGACAGGAGGGGAAAGGATGATCTGGAGGAAGGAGGAGAAGAAAGGGAAGGAAGAGCCCCCCAGCTGTGAAACCTCCCCCTCAATTCCTGCTCATGGAACCCAAACACTAATGTCTCTGGAATCCAATTCCTTACAAGGTTTGTTTTAGTTTTAGGTGTGTTCGGGGAGGGCGGGGAGGGGGGGAGTGACATTGACACAGAGTTTCACTCTGTAGCCCAGGCTAGCCTCTGAGTTGAGGTTCACCTCCAACCTCTGGGCTCCCTTTCTCCGTTCCTCCTCTGCTATAGGCAGCTCTGAGTATAAACAGAATTCCTCCAACTGGGCACCTTCACCCCTGCCTTCAAAGCTCCCAGAAACTGAGGGGGAGAGTGGGGACTGCTGAGAGTCTGAAGCCAACCTAGGCTGTATATTGCATCTGAGGCTAGTCTGGGCTACAGGGTGAGACCGTGTCTTTACAAAGACAGGAGGAGGCAGAGAAGTAAAAGAGAAGGAGGAGGAGAAGCAAGGAAGTATGTAAGTTTGTGTTTAGAGAGCTGAAAGGGACTCCAGAGGCTGGGCAGCCATCCCAGACCTCAGACCCCAGGCCCCAGAGCACCTAACGAACTATCTGGGTGCCCTTCCTCCCAGGATCAGCCCTCTGGCCCCCACCCTCCCCTGCATAGTGAGTCACTGTCACTGGGCTACAATGTCAGGGCTCCCTGCCCTGGGCCCCTTGCCATGGTGAATTGCAGTCCCTCACTTTGTTAACCAGTAGCCAGGGGAACTGCCGACTCTGGCCCCGTGACCAGCCCAGCAACGTGGCCCGGAGCAGGGCGCCTGCGCTCTAATGTCCCAGCTGCCCGCTGGAGCTGCCAGCCTCTTCTATCAAAGAGGACACACAAGGAGAATGACCCTGGGACACCCCAGCTCTGCTGGTGTTGCTGGGGTTCCTGGGGCTCAGAGACCCCCCTGCTCTCAGGTGGTCCCTGGGGAGCAATCCCTAAGAACAGGAGAAAGATTACACAGGGCCCACACATACGCGTCCTGCTTCTGTTCTGTTGTCGTCCTGCCTGTCTTCTCTGTGTCCAGATGCCTCTTCTTGCCTCTACCTCTCTACTTGTCTTGAGTTTATTTCCTGGCCAGGCGTGGCCAGCTCCTGGTTGCTGCCTCTCCTTAGGGAACATGCATGGCTGTTTTCATGCATGTCTGAAAAGCCCAGAGCATCCATCAGGGAAAAATTAGGAGAGCAACTAAAGAAGAAAGGGATCTATTTCTACTCCCTACCATTCTTTATTTAAAGATTTATTTTATCAGGGCCAGAGAGATAGCTCATTGCTTAAGGGCTCTGGGTGCCCTTTGGGAGGACCTGGGTTCTGTCCCCAGCACCCACGTGGAAGCTCACAGCCATTTGTAACTCCCAGGGGATCTGATATTTTGTCCATGGACACAGGGCATACACATGGTGCGAAGACATACATGCAGGCAAAACACCCACACACATTAAAGAAAATGGGGAAAAAAAAAGACAAGTCATAAAAATATTTATTTTATTATTTGTGTGCAGTGTGTGTGCGTGTGGATGTCAAGGGAGAACATAAGAGAGTTCAGTACCATGGAGCTAGACTTATAAACAGTTGTGAGACACTAGACATGGGTGCTGGCAACCAAACCTAGGTCCTGTGCAAGAGGTCCTGTGCTGTTAGCCACTGAGCCGTCTCTCCAGGCCTTCCCTGCCATCTGCCCAACACAGCAGCATTTACCTTCACACCCTTCTACCAAATGGGAGAACAGTAATTCGGACCATTCACCACACGTCCTGTGGCGGGCAGGTGCACTTCTTGCTCCGTTCCTGCCCCTCCCACACCTCCGCAGCGCATTCAGAGAGAGAAAGAGCCCAAAGTGCCCCGGCACAGCCGAGCTGAAAGTCCAACACTTCTAAAAACTTCCAAATAGGGAACATATTCAGACACTTGGATGTGAAGATTCTGATGAGCAATGACACGGTGTGCTATGCTTGGAGAAAAACCTGAGCAGCATGCTCAGGCCTGGGCCTCCCTGTGAGGAGGCCCCCACCATCCAGCCAGGGAGGAGACTATGGTTGAGGAATGGTCTTGTGGAAAAAGGTCAAGAAGGTGGGAAGTGGCTGGCGCAAGATAGGCCGAGGACCCTTGTCACAGCCCACACCGCCTGTCTCCTGGGTTGCGCTGACGGCCCCGTGCATGGAATCACAGGTCAGCCTGCCACAACTGCACAGCCTCTAACCAGCTCGTCCTCATTGCAGGAGTGGTGGCTCGACACGCTCATCAGGCCTCATCACAGACACAGGGCAACTTTGGCTGTCTTCTCCCTCCCCATGGAATCCATTCAGCTCTGACTATAACCTAGACTACCATCATCTTCACTAAGACTATACAGCAGCCTTCTGCTCCATCCTGACCCATCCTCCACGTGGATCAGAGGGACCTTTCTAAAAACCCACATCTGGTGGCATCAGGCCCCTGTCACCTCAGCCTCTCCCATTCTTTCCTAGCCACAGAGATCACTGGGGAGAGAAGGATGGATCTCCTGGCCTCTCCAGCACACCATTCCCTCCCCACATCCTCCAGAGACACCCAGCCTGGCCATTCCACCTGTCCTCCTTTTCTAGAAGATACGTATCAGCCCTCTTTGTCTCCTTGACTCCCTTCTCTTCTGTCTTCTTTGGCATCCCTTAGAATTCTGAGCAGATTCTGGGATCCCAGAAAGACCTGGGCCTGTTTTCTGTTCTTGAGTCTCGATTCCAGCCACCTGAGTCCCCAGTCCTCTATCCTTCCCTTTCCAGTTTCCCTCTGATGTTCTCAGGTCGATGGGCTCACCCATTCCTGTCAGAATGGCTGTTCTCAGCAAGATGGTAGAAAACAAATGCTGCTGAAGGCAGGAGAGAAGAGAACCGTTACACAGATTTGGGGTGAATCAGCACAACCATTGTGGGAGACAGCATGGAAGGCTTCCAAAAAACTGGAAGTACCAACTTCCCTCTGGTGAAGAGACAGATCAAGGAAGTGAAACTGGCACGTCAAAGAGATGCCTGCACCCTTGTTTAATATTCATAAAGGCCAAGATAGGAGTTCACCAGTGGGTCCAACAGCGGATGAGGAGACAAAGAAAATGCAGTGCATCCATAGGATGGAATAAAGAAGAAAATCCTGTCAACATGGATAAACCTGGAGGACATTACAGAAAGTGAAATGAGCCAGAGACAGAAAGACAAATACTGCATGACTTCACTCATGTAGGGTGACTGGAAAAGGCTGACTCATACGAGTACAGGATAGGACAGAAACTAGGAGGGAGAAGGAGAAGGCTGGCGAGAGGGCCCATCGGGGCAAGTTGCAGTTATGAGGAATAAGCGCCGCTATTTTGTGGCCCAGAAGGGTGACTAAAGTTTACAATCAAATACATTATTTCAAAAATAGCAGTGGCTGGGGTGTCTTATCACCAAGAAATGATAAATGTTTGAGGTCGGATCAGAGGGTCATACACAGTTCGAGACTTCAAAGGTACTCCATGAATGTGGACAATTATAAAGTATCAATTAAAAAGGGTGAAGAAAGATAGGGAGTTTTTCAGCAGAGTAAGAGATGAGGAAACCATAGTGAGAAACCTCGGAGCCAGGATACAGTCAGGAGCCTGTAAATTCTTACCTGGCTCCTCACCGCGTCTCTGACTGTCGTGGAGGAAAACTGCCACAGTTCTCCCTTTTCAGTCTGCAGATTAGCCCATCCATGCCTTTCTCCCAGTCTCGGTTAATCACCTGCATCAAAAGAGCTAGGAGGGCCCGGCTGTCTGGGATGACCCACCTCGTGCTGGCTGCAAGCATCTTGCTGAAGAAGGGCTACGGTGGGTGGTGGAAGCTGATGTCCTGGGTGCCTCTCTGTGTCTCAGGCTCCTGCTTACGATGGCTTCTCATGAGCTCGTGTTCTCTCCTCAGTTCGATCCGTAGACCCAATACTCAGAGAAGAGGCAAACATGCAGTCAAACATTTACCCGGGAGTGAAATCAGGCGGCAGCCCTCTTCCTGGTTTCACAACACTGCTGCCTGCTCTGCTTCTCACTCCACAAGAGCAGGCTTCTCTCTTCTATGGCCTCCTCCCTGGCCTCGCTGCTGTTCCTTTCACACTCCCTCCACATACACATACATGCACACACACACACACACACACACACACACACACACACTCAGCTGTGATCCCGGGACCACCCACCCCAGCTGTCTGCGGAGGCTTTGCCTGGCAGCTGTGTGCCTTTGGCTAGCTATAAAATATTATTAAAGGGAATAAACTAGTGCTCTGCCTCCAAGCCGCAAGCCAGGACTGCCCGCTTAGAGGTTCTCCCTTGGACACTGGCAGCCAGCCTCTGGCTTGGAGAAGCGAGGGGAGATAATTCAAGATGGACCCCGGCCACATGGCAGAGCCTGCTGGCTGCCCATCCCTAGGTTTCCTTTCCCTGGGCAGAGAGGAAGGCTGCGACTTGGTACCTCTTCCCCATCAAGCCCAGACTCCAGCCACCCCGGCATCTAGGAGCAAACACTCAAGAAGGATTTTCATGGGGTGGGCGTAGGAGTGCCGGATGGCCCCTCTGCACAGCATGCTGAGGTCTGCCGCTTTCTCTTTCCTGTGGGAGGGAATCACAGGAACTAGGGAACGAGACTCCTTGACAGCATGCTGAGAGCATTAGCCCTACATGCTGTCCCCTCACAGCCTAGACCACAGGCAAATAAAAATAAATAAATAAAGTTGGCTTGTGAGCAGTCGGTGGCACGTGGGGCTGACTCACCACAGCAGCTCACCTGACCCTGTCTAGTACTTCCTGGAGTAGAGTGCTTTCTCAGCACCTGAAGCCCAAGACCGCTGCTTTAAGAATAAGACTTAATGCTAGCCTAACGCCTTCCTTAAAGGACCCGTCTCTCAAGATGGCCACATCCTAAATGCTAGGAGTTCACGCTTTGGCATCTGGGCCAAGCCAGTCTAATCAGGTATGGTGGAAGGGGAGGCAGGAGGCAGATTTGGTCACTAACGTCCCAGACGATGGTGTCACCCGCTTAATCACTCTACCACTGCCCGAGATGACCCCTGCCCATTCTTGCGGTGCCATCTTCTTGGCTTCTGAACGTGTAGAACCCTGGAGGGCGCTGTGGTTTGGCATCTTGAGAGTCAGCTCCACCAGGAAGAAGCCTTGCAACTGTGTGAGCCGCCAGTCTCCTGCTGCGTATCTGGAGACGAGCTGCAGCTGGGCCACAGACACTCAGAGCTAAAGTGAGCTAAGATCATGATGATATGTTTAGGGAGCGCCTGACATGAAATGAACACCAATCAGCTGAGCATCTGGTCACACCACAGATCCCGGTGACCAAGGCCCTGCGCTCCGGGTCGATCATAGCAGTGACCAGATCTGAATCAGCACAGCGTTGGGATACACATGAGGTTCCACGAATGCTTGCCGTCGAGGCAGACTTGAAAGAAAGATGAAAAAGAACCCAGGAGGGCCTGGCCCAACTCAGCTCTTTTCCAGGTAACTGCAAAACAGAGAAGCAATTCCTGGAAGCTGGCTGCTGCTTCCCTGGAATGGCAGTTCTCCGAATGTGTGCCCAGAGGTCAAAGGCAAGGACCCAGCTCTCTGCTAGGCACTTAATTCTACCTCTTCTGGGGGTGCCCACTGCAGGTCCTTCTGGCTCCTGGCCAGGCTATGAGTGGATGTGTTGTGCTTTTGGATGGCATTGACCATTCTCATGCCCTTAAGAAAAGGTCACTGTTGAATCGTCACTGGGCTGAGGTATGACGGAAAGGCAGCCACCTAATGCAGAAAACCCAAGGCATTTGTTTCCAGGCGAGTAAGTTCAGGGGAGTTTGGTGTGTAATAACAAGACCCCATATCGGAGAGGTGTGTGCCGTGTGTCCCTGTGGCCCCTTTCTTTCCACACCCCCTCAGGCTTTCTCACCTTCTCCGAAGATTGTGTGTTGTATCCAAACACACAAGCTGACGTGTCTAAGACACTCCCAGAGCTGATTGCTCTCCAGAACGCCAACCTATGTGAGCCTTGGTGAATACTATTTCTTCTATTCAACGTACATTGATTCCTTTTCCCAGCTTTGGGATACCTGAAGGGTCTCTCTGAGTTTGTACAGGTGTCACTCTTGAGCCCAGGATCAGCTTCTTCCCTCCAAGGTGTCCAGAGACTGATTCATACAGGTGCTGGACTCAAGCTTAGCTGTGTGGGTGGGTCAGTAGGATCTCCATCCGGCAGTGAGCACTGGGGTGGGGAGATAGCTTCTCCGACACAGCTTTAGTGACAGCCCTTTCAGTGGTGCTGCCCTTCCAGTGATACAGCTCTCTTTACAGGGGGAATGAGGGCGATATAGACCTTGGGGATGTGGATAGGGGGTTTTTTGGGTGAATGTACACCATTGGCAGGGGCTGAGGTGCTGGGAATGCTTCATTTGCATGGAGAGGAAGTCCAGTGTTAGCTTGACATATCCTGGTTACCAGGCTATATGACTACTTCATGGATGGTGGGGGGGGGGGCGCAAGACTATGTGCATGGGACATGCAGGCACAGAATGGGGGAGGGGAGAAACCTTTACTCCTGCCAGTCTCAAGATTTAGATTTTCGGGGTTTGGACACGTCTCCGTCTCGCTCTAGCTCCAGGCCAGTGACCACCGCACCCCCCATACCTGCTGCCACCCCCCTCTGTGGCACGGTTCGTGTGCCCTGCATATACGTTATTAATTTAAAATACAAAACGAGCAACAACAAGCCAAAACACTGTACAGAGAAGAGTCCTGTGGCAGCACGCTGTGGAGGTGCTGCACTGGGCAGGGTGAGGACAGCAATGATGGAACACACCGGTAGAGAAGTCACTGCTTTTGGTGCCTGCGCTTATCAGGGTTCAGAGTGTGAGCGAAGCTGCAGAAGGCAACTAGATAGTGTGTCACTTGCTCCCTGAGTCAGGAGCTTGTCATAGGACAACCTTCATGCCTTCTATAGAAGTATGGCTTAATTATTAAATTCAGGAGCAAAGAACTCAGCCGTCTGGGAGACCTAGTGTGGCTTTATCACTGAGTGACACTAAGTGCTTTCTGGGGTTGGGAATGGCCCTTGACTGAGGACAGCTTTTCTCTCTTTGAGAAAGAATTTATAGTTGGCTCCCATTCCTTCTGTGTTCACAGACAGACCTGGTTCCTCCTACCAATAGTATAAAACCAAATCTCCCAATTGGGCATTCCATGACCTTTGGTCTGGAAGAAGCTGATTTTTCCAGGCTGTCCTGAGAAGGCTTGGCTCTCAAGAAGCCATCGCCGTGGTAGGACCAGAGTCTTGCCTCCATCCACATTCAGGCATTCATCCGTGTCACAAATATTACAAAGCACGCTGTACTGTGAACTATGCTGGTCCTTGAGACTAAATGCTCCCTAGATCCAGTTTGCTCCTTCCCAGGTAGGGTAAGGAGCCTAGCTCACACAAGGCCTTTCCCCCACAGAGGGCAGAATCTTACAACTTCACCCAGATAGAGCATGGCGAATGAGGGAGAGATGGCTGCACCACAGGTGAGCTGGGAGTGTCCTTGTGATGGAGCCCCATAGGGAGGAGCGTGATCAGAAGTCATCTGTAGGCTACTTCTGAGTCACCAAGAGTGAGAGTCACTTACACCGAAGGCATGCAGGGACAGAGCAAGGAGGCCTGGGCTGGGAGAACCAGGGCCTTCGACCCTGCTCTGCTGTCAGTGGTCTGAGTCTGGCTCAGTCTCTTCAAGACTCAGTGAGTTCAGCCATCGTTGTAGGGCTGGGAGTGGAAGGCAATGGGGAGAGAATGGGTGGTTTTCACTGCACAGCACTGGGTTAGTTCCTGCTAGCTGGCTGTCCTAAATGTGTCCCTAGCTGGGGATGTAGCTCAGTTGGTGGAGTTCTTGCCCAGCATGCACCGGGCCCCAAGCTCCACCCCCAGCACTGCAGCAGCAGGACATGTTGGCTCAGGTCCATAGCCTCTACACTCGGAAGGCAGAGGTGGGAGGATTCGAAGTTTGAGGTCCCCCTTGGCTGCATAGTGAGTTCTAGGACATCCTGGACTACATGAGCCTCTGTCTCAACAACTAAAAACAAAAAAAAAGTAAAGTAAGTGCCCTGGTGGTGTGCCTCTGCCACGCAGGTTCCCTCGCCCATGAGTGGAGGCAGCAGTGGGTCCTCTTCAGGAGCAGAGAAGATGCTGGCCACATGCTCCCAGCTTCCCAGGCTGCAGAACTTCGGGCCAAAGCTACCTCTTTGTTTATAGGTTATAATTATAGTTGTTCTCAGGAAAACTGAGCAACTGTGCCCAAGTCCCCCCCCCCCCCCGCCCTAGCTGCAGCCGAGTGAGGCCTGGGCAGTTGTATCTGAAGACCCTCTTTTCTACCCATGCTGCTTCCGAAGGTTACCCCAACCCCCACACTCACCTCATTCCTGGGGGCTCACTCACAGCTCTGGCCATCTATCCGACACCACAGGAGACTAGCGTGGAGCCAGTGAAGAGCAGCCATTCTGGCTTTGTCCACACGGTGGTGCTTTCCCAGGATGCTGCTTGCAGAAACTGTAGAAGCCCGGCAAAGCATAGGAAAGATGAATGTGTAGTCCAGTTTCACTCTGGAACACTCTCCCCAAAAGCAACTTAGGTGAGAAAAAGGTTTGTTTCAGCTCCTGTGTTCTATACAGTCCATCAGTGAGGGACGTCAGGACAGGTACTTAAACAGGAACTTGAAGCGGGAACACTGCTTGCTGGCTTGCTCACTGCCTCACTCTTAGCCGGCTTTCTTACACCCAAGACCACTTGCCTAGGGATGGCGCTGCCCACAATGGTCTGGGCTCTCATGACAATCCCCCTAGACATGCCCATAGGCCAGTCTGAGAGCAGCAGGCAGTCCCTCAACTGAGGCTTTCCTATCAGATGACCATAAGCTGTATCAAGTTGACCGTCAAAGTTCACCAGGACAGAGAGCAATTTGGCATTTTTAAAATGGGTCTTCAGGTAGCTGGATATTAAAATAATAG